ACACAGCCTTTATTGTGATACCACATTTTGCATAGAACTTTAACCACTGATGGTTAAAGTTGCATCTAACACTTTTTATTCTGTATCATATTGACTTGAATACATAGTTATCTTTCCTACTGGACCATAAGGTCTTTGAGGATCATGTCCAAACATATTTTTGTATTTGAATACTCCACAAAGCCTAGCACAATAATTCCACATAATAAATGTTCTCTCTCTCCATAAGTTATTACCAAATCATTACTGTAGGATTTATTCCTTTTAGAAATGTCTGTAAACTGAAGCAAATCTCTACATTCCACATTTATACAGGAATTTTCATTTAAAACTAGCATTAAATTTTGACATCTTGCACTTAATAATAATAGAAAGCTCTTTAAACTACTAAAGATCATATTACAAGTCTTAAATGATAATTTTGTTTTAAAGATGGGAACAATAATGCAAATGATTTTTCAAAGAGCATTCAACACAGTGATAATTACCCCAGGTGGAATCTAGGATTTGAAGAAAGGCAAGAGGTTAGCACTTCCATTCCTATGATAACTTTTGCAGCTGGCAGAGACTGAGACTTGATTTAATTCTTAGTTCTAATACATTTTAATTCAGTATATTTTAACTTAATCCAGTTTAATTCTAGCACATTTTAATTCACTCTTCCATTTAGTTTTCTGTGTGAACTCAATTTAACTTCAAGTTTAAGATTCTTAGAAGCCCTCTGTAGATGAGATTCGGAACACAGAAGCAAGCTGCATCTTGTCTGTTTAGAATTTAAGGTGCGTATGCTCAACAGCAGGTACTTCCTCTGAGGAACAGCTACAGCACAGCACTCCACACCACAGCACAACCTACCGGCACGGCTAAAGGACCACCTCATTTCACGCCATAGAAAGCACTTGATAACTGACCAATAATTGGATTAAATACGCTTAGATTACCAAATAAACTTAATTCTGGGAGGAAAAATTACACCTGTATTAGTCTGCTAGGGCTGCCATAACAAAATATCAGACTGGATAGCTCAAACAACAGAAATCTAATTTCTCACAGTTCTGGAGGTTAGAAGTACAAGATCAGGTGTCAGCAAGGTTGGTTTCATTTGACTTACAAATGACTGCCTTCTTGCTGGGTCCCCACATGGTCTTTCTTCTGTGCATGAGTGCCCCGGTGTCTCTTTTTACATCCAAATTTCCTTCTCATATAAGACACCAGTTAGAATGGATTAGGACCCACCCTAAGGGACTCCTTTTAACTTAAACACCTCTTTAAAGGCCTGTCACCAAATACAGTCACAGTCTGTATTGGTGGGGAGGAAGTGTTAGTGCTTCAGCATATGAATTTGGGGGTAGGAGGCACAATTCAGCCGAAAAAGATAGCTAACTAGGTTCATTTATCTCTGTCCTAGGCATTAATTAAAGTTTTATTTACTTTAGAGCCCAAACAATCTTATTCAGCCATCCTTCCCCCAAGCAGTCTGCACAGAAAGAAACAATTTGGGGATTACATTCCATGCAGCCCTGCAAGCATCATGTGGGCCTTAGTACATGACGACATTCATGGTGACCCATCTGCTGCAATATGGTTAACTGAGAGTCACCAAAAAGTTGTTCAGCAACAGATCCCATAGATTGCCTCTGAAACCAAAATGATGCTTTTACAGTTTTTCCCCGTATGGCATACCAGATAATTTAAAAATATGCAAGGGCACATCTGGGAATCCCTTTGGTCTTTCCTGGAAAGTAAGTACTGTTAATGGTGAGGACTGACTGGGGAGAGTGCTTGAAGGCTCTTTAATATGTTTGAGGAGCAGGAGCGAAAAAAAGAGTTAAGATGAGAGAGGCAATGTGAGAGGCCTCGAAGCAACTCTTGTGGTTTCCAGTGAGCTATTAGGGAGGGGTTCTCTCCCCCCATAAATGCTGTTATATATGACACTTTAAAAGGTTTTAAAGAAAATAAGCCAAACTAGTAGTATCCAGGTAAATTTTCTCATTATCAATGCTGCATATCCACCAAAAGTGAATTTTACAGTAAGGTGCACCTTATTATGACACGCTTTTGGTCAGAATGCAAAATGCACTTGACTTTACCAAGCTTGTAATGTCGTTTTTATAAAGCAAGTGGATTAGAATCTCCTTTTAAGTATGCCTGCAATAATCAGGAAACTGCATACACCATTCTCAAGGGAATCATGTTTTATACTTCAAATGGTCATTTATCTAGTGTGTCTCAGAGTATACAGCAATTTACACTTTATCTGAGGTACAGTGTTAGGACCAGCACTCACAGCGAACAGAGAATACAGTTTATGAGTCAAAGTAATCTACATCTGTCACCACAGTATGACTCTTACACTCTAACACACACAAACAACTGGGCTTGAGGAAGCATTTTCTGGTAGGCCCTATCTGACTGCTAAACCACTGACAATAAAATGGGACTCCCACTCCACGTAGTTTTCCTAAATGTGGGAAGCCTGGTGTTCATTGTCCCCTACTAACTTTCAAAAGACCATCAGATGACGTCTCATCAAAAGCAACCTTCTGAAGTTTGAACAATGCCCAAAGAACAGTAATAAACTTCTCTCGACACTATGCTAAGAGAAAACTTCCAGCATAGGTGATACTTAAGAAATAATTTTCTCTCTGAATTTCATTAGTTAAGTTTAGTAGTTTCATTCACAACACTTAAGGGGGAAAAAAAATGATGGTTTATGAATATCAGGTTCCATTACAGCAGAAAAAAAAACTTTTATACTGCTCTTAGTAAACAGAAACAGTTCCACAACCTCACAGACGTGTTACAAGCTCTCCCCTTCCCTACAAAGATATGCGAGTAGCATAAACAACACTGACACTGAATGTGGAATAATCCAACAAAGGTTCCTCTGAACTTGTTTGTGGTGCCATAAATTTTTATTTACTAACGGTTACAGCCATGAATTTTTTTGAAAATTCCATGCATGTCTCGGTATGCATATCTTTGTGGTCTCTATGGCTCCTTTCCCCTTCTCTATTGAATCTGTTGCCCTTTGGTCTCCTGACATTTCCATTTTCTCCTTTTATGTTCCCTCTATGCCCACCACAGAAACCTGGGGTGTAACTGATGACATCTCCAGTAATCTTTTTCTTATTCCAGGCTCTCCAGATTGGAATGGAAGGAAGACGACCCTGGTACAGCCCAGATATTACCTATTCCACAGTGTGTGGAAAGTGTCTTCTCACCCTTCATTTTGTATCTATTTTACTAACGGTGCTGTCGTGCCCAAACGCTGATATTGGCCAAGAACTAGATTTCCAAAATGGCTTTGCTCCTTCTGAGTTGGCATCAGTCTATAAAATGCAATTTATTTCCACTGCAACCAACCCTTCTCACTACCTCAAATATTACCCAATATCTAGAAAGCTGAACCTAACCTACTGTAGACAACTGATACACATCTGTTAAATTCAGCAGAGAGCCAGCACAGCCGTTAGACTGGTGTAAAAAGAGCGTCAAAAGGA